TGCGAAGCAGCAGCAGCGGCAGCAGCAGCAGCAGCAGCAGCGGCAGCAACAGCAGCGGCAGAGGGCTCACAAGGTGGTACTTGCTGCCGTTGTCCCTTGGGCAGCAGCTTCTGCAGCTGGTTCCGGGGCCTGCGCAGCATTTGCTGCCAGCAATTGAGCGTCGTGTTGCGCTGCTGCTGCAGCAGCAGCAGCTGCTGCTGGAGGTGCAGCAGGCAGCCTGCGAGTGCATGCAAGCGGAGAAGGAAGTGCTGCAGTGGGAGCTCTTCTTCCGCAGACGCAGGGGCGTCACCATCAACAGCAGCAGCAGCAGCAGCAACAGCAGCAGCAGCAGCAGCAGCGACTTCGGCGCAGCAGTGAAGGGACAGCTGAGGCTGCAGCTAGAGCACGCTGCAGCTGCCTCTCCGCAAGCACGCAAGCAGCTAAAGGCAGCTCGAGCAGCAGCAGCAGCAGCAGCAAGAGGGACTAAGGCCCCGCTGCAGCTCTGGGCAGGCCCCAGCAGTGCCCCAATTAGCCTGGCTTCAGCTGTGCTGCAGCTGCCCCCTGCAGCAGCAGCAGCAGCAGCAGCAGCAGCAATGGGCCGGCCCAGACCTTCTCCGCGACGCCCGCAAAAGATGTCAGCAGCAGCTCCTGATGCTGCTGCTGCAGCCCCGCCAGCAGCACGAGCTGGAGCAGCAGCAGCAGCAGCAACAGGCGCAGCAGCAGCTGGTGCTGCACTTAGCGACCTGAGGAGCCCCAGCAAGCGAAACTCGCTGAGGAGCTGCTGCGCTATTTGCTGCAGGCCTCTTGCTGCTGCTCCTGGTAATCGGACTGAGTTTCATTTGCCTTCCAAAGCAGCAGCAGCAGCAGCAGCAGCAGCGGCAGCAGCAGCAGCACATGATGATTCAGACGCAGCAGTGAACACGCCGCGTGCTGCTCCCAGAGGGTCGCCGCAGCAGACAACCCCAAGGACCTTCGCTTCAGCAGCAGCAGCAACTGCGCCGGAAGCCGCGGTTGCTGCTGCTGCTGCTGCAGAATTGGAACAGGAGCAAGAACAGCAACAGCAGCAGCAGCAGCAGCAGCAGCCGGAAAAGATCGTGGTATTTTGGTGTGGCCACTGCATGCACAGCAGCTGCTGCGAACGGAGCAACGGCTACCTTGAAAACAGCAGCAGCAGCAACAGCAGCAGCAGCAGCAGCACCGCCTCCGATGACATGAAGCTGTCTTGTGCTTTGTGCGCATTTGCTGCTTCTGCTGCTTGGAGGGGGACGTGGGGCCCCACTGGCTGCTGGGGAGCAGCAGCAAACAGCTGCCTTGCTGCTCTCCCCGCAGACAGCTAGTGCACCTGTCAGCTGCTGCTGCACCTGCACTGCAGCAGCAGCAGCAGCGACTGCAGCAGCAGTAGTAGCAGCAGCAGCATGACTTTTACCTGAGTTCTGCTGCGTCTGATGAAGCACAAGCAGCTAGCAGTCTAGCAGCGCAGCTCCTACTGCTACTACTACTGCTGCTGCTGCTGCTGCTGCTGCTCAGCAGCAGTCTGCAGCAAGGCCAAAGTGCCGCCCCGGACAGGAGCAGACAATGCTTGTTGATTTGTTACGATTTTTCACGCTCTAGGGATTAGGGTTTAGGGTTTAGGGTTTAGGGCTCTTCTTCGAGCCTTCATCGTTGCAGCGCAACACCGAAAACGTCACGCGCTGCTGCGGCTGGGGCTGCTGCTGCTGCTGCTATTGCTGCTGCTGCTGCTGCTACTGCTGCTGCTGGCGCTGCAGAAGTATAACCGCGTCGTAGCCGATGTAGCTCAGTCGGTAGAGCGCGAGGCTCTTAACCTCGTGGTCGCGGGTTCGAGCCCCGTCGTCGGCTCCTTATGCTGTCTTTAATGAATTGAAAGTTTATTTTTAATTTATTTAAAGTTATTTCGGTTTTGCTGCTCCAAATATTCGCTGGAGAGCCTCGTTTCGCCCAGGTGTATGTACACCTGAGGCCACCGCGGTGTGATGTGCACCTTCTGCTGCGCACACGCCTCTGGAAACATTTTAAATATCCTTTTTTTGCACTTTATTTACCTCAATATGTTTAACTGTACATTTAATTGCAAAATATTTATTTGTTTTGCATTATGCTGGAAGAATAATTGCCTGAAGGCAGCCGCGAGCTGTATGTACACCCCACCACGGAGAGCATCGAGATGAAGCTCCGGGTCACTTCGGCGGTGTCTCGATGTCTGGAAAGTTGGAAATGAACAATTAAATGAAATTAAATGAAATTAAAAGTAACTAAAAGTAAAATAAATGAAAAATATATTCACTTTGAAGTCAAAAAGCCGACGACGGGGCTCGAACCCGCGACCACGAGGTTAAGAGCCTCGCGCTCTACCGACTGAGCTACATCGGCTCCCCCAGTCCTTTATTTTCTAAACCGTAAACCCTAAACCCTAAACCCTAAACCCTGAAAAGCAGTGTTTGCCGTCCTTAGTGTGGACTCTTAACAGCTGCAGAACAAGCAGCGAGAGCTGCAGCTGCGCCGCAGCAGCTCGTCGCCTGCTGCAGCCAGCATGCTGCTGGGCCCCACAGATAGCTCCGTAAGAGACGAGCAGCAGCAGCAGCAGCAGCAACAAGAAGAGCAGCACGAGACACAGCACCAGCAGCAGAAATAGCAGGAATTGCAGCAGCAAAATTGCGACAGCAGCAGCAGCAGAGAATATCACTTATTGGGTATCCAATTTGCTGCTTGCTGCACCTCCCCGTGCCTCCCTAGCTGCTGCTTCTCTGCAAATATGATTTAATTTATTTTATTTTATTTTAATTTATAAATAATTTTCAAAAAGAATTTCTAAAAAATAAAATTGCCGGAACTGAACTCCTTGGTGCCGGGTGTCTGTACACCGCAGGCAGGCAGCGTGGGCAAAGTAAAGACGCCTTCTGCTGCTGCTGCTGCTATTGCTGCTACTGCTGCTGATGCTGCTGCTGATGCTGCTGCTTGTTGCTGTGCGCCAGCCCCCTTGCCCGCAGGCTTTGCAGCTGCGACAGCTCTTATGTGTTACGTTTGCTGCTGCTGCTGCTATCAGTTCTGGCTGCTGCTGCTGCTGCTGCAGCTGCTGCTGCCCTCAGGCGTCTATGTCTCCTACTGTGCTGCTGCTGCTGCTGCTGCTGCTGCCGTTCCTGCTACCGGCCTCCACGCCTCCTACTGTGCCTCTGCTGCTGCTGCTGCTGCTGCTAATTAATTACCTATTATTTATTTTAATTATTTATTTTAATTACTTATTTTAATTATTTATTAATTGTTTTCTTAAGTTGCCGTCGGAAGCCTCAATTCATCTCTCGGCTGTCCTCAAAGAGGCTTTTCGCCCAGAGGGTCACTCGAGCTTCCGACGCACTTTCCTACGCAGCAGCAGCAGCAGCAGCTGCTGCTGCTGCTGCTGCTGCTGCTGCATTACACAGTAGCAGCAGCAGCTGCAGCCAAGCAAATGCAGACAACCCACGAAGCAGCTAAACCTCAGCAGACACCGCAGCAGAATGAACTTGTAGCAGCAGACATAAATAAATAAATGATAAAATATTTATATTTACACAAATCTTTAATTAAATTAAATTTAATTTAATTAGATTTAATTTAATTAAGTGCATTTAATGCAATTATTTACAAGTGTACGGATGTGCTGCTGAGGTGTATAGACAGCTGTTGCAGCTATTCTGGGCAGCCCCAAAACTCCCCACAGGGCGAGCAGCAGCAGCAGCAGCAGCAGCAGCTAAGAAGGCCATTTGCTGCCTGTTGGTGCTGCTGCTGCTGTGTGCTGCTGCCCTTCTTGCGGCAGCCACTGGCTGCTGCAGCAGCACTGGCTGCTGCAGCAGCAAACGCCGCCGTCTGTGGGAGTGCTGCAGCCCCTGCTGCAGCAGCTTTGCCAGAGACTGCAGCAGCTGAGGGGACTGCAGCGAGAGGCCGTCGGCAGCAGCAGCAGCAGCTGCTGCAGCAGGAGTCGCAGCAATCACTTCCAGCTGCAGAGGCTCTCCAGCTGCAGCTGTTGCTGCTGCAGCTGCTGCGTCTGTTGCTGCGTCCGCAGCAGCAGCAGCAGCAGCAGAAAGCCTAAGAATGAGGTACTCTTTTTCAAAGCCTTCACCTCGGGTCAGCCACACCTCAGCGACTACCCGCTTTTGCTGTTGCTGCTGCTGCTGCTGTTGCTGCTGCTGCTGCTGCTGGGAACCTTCTCCACTCAAGCGCTGCTGCTGCTGCTGCTGCTGCTGAATATGCGGCTGCCGCTTAAGTGCAACACGAAGGGGCTGCAGCACCCACCGTAGGGGGCGGCGCAGCAGCAGGCCAACAGGTGCTGCTGCTGCTGCTGCTGCTGCTGCTTGAAATCCTGCTGCTGGCGATGGAACTGCTACCAGGCGCACATGCAAAGCTCTTGTTAACTGCTGCTGCTGCTGCTGCTGCGGAATTAGAAGCTCCTGCGGCAGCGACAGCAGCAAAGAAGCAGCAGCAGCAAAGTCAGACTCTACAGGCACCCGCACTGCAGTCACTCTGAGGCCTCTGCTGCTCCGCTGCAGCACCTCGTGCTGCTGCTGCTGTTGCTGCTGCTGCTGCTGCTGCTCGTCTAAGACATCCAGGACGGATTGTAGCGCCCGTGCCTCTTCCTCCTGCTGCAGCATGCCCCGGTGCTGCTGCTGCTGCTGCAGCAGCAACGAACGCACATATGCTTCTGGCGGCAGCACAAGAAAGGAAGGAGGCCTCGTAGGCAGGGCCAGGCCATCCCTTTGTGCCTTGCAGGCAGCAGCAGCAGCAGCAGCAGCAGCTGCTGCTGCTGCTGCCACTGCTGCTGCTGCTGCTGGACGCCGACGAGCTGCAGCATAAACAGATTTTCCTGCTGCTGCTGCTCCCAGCAGCAGCAAACCCAGCCGGTCCTCGCGGCCTTGGGGGCGCCTTACCCGCAGGGGCTTTCGTCACTGCGCCTCTGCAAAGCTGGTGCTGCTGCTGCTGCTGCTGCTGCTGAGTTGCTGCAGCTCGGGAACCATTATCAGCAGCAGCAGAAACAAAAAGACAAGCCAGGAAGCCCAAGACCTTCGCATAAGGCCCCCCCAGGCACCCAGTGGTCGGCTCCCTGGGCTGCTGCTGCTGCTGCTGCAGCGTCTGCTGCAGCTGTCTTTTGGCATTATTTTGGGAACAAAAGCAGCAAAATAAACAAAAGCAAAAAAGGAAATGAAGGATCTGCTGCAGCGGGAATACATCGAGACTCCGGCAGGTGTGGGGCCGCGAGCAGCCTCCTGCTGTCTGCTGCTGCCGCCTCTAATGCAGCAGCCGCTGCAGCAGCAGCAGCAGCTGCTGCTGCTGCTGTCGCTGCTGCTGCTGCATGGGCTTGAAAAGGTGAGCCTCCCCCGCAAATTCCGGGGTGTACAGACACCTCAGAAGACTTGATCTGCCTCCGCTGTGCAGCCTTAGGGGGGCCCCAGGAGGGCCCCCGGAGCTGTGCTGCTGCTGCTGCTGCTGCTGCAGCAAGGCAGCAGCAGGGGCGGCTCTTTCGGTCTAAAAAAGCCAAATGAAATCTGTTGGTGAAGACAATCAGCAGCAGGGCTCACACAGGGGGAGGAACGCCGTGGCAGCAGCAGTGGCCCAAAGAATCGATTGAGCAGCAGCAGCAGCAGCTGCAGAAGCAGCAGCAGCAGCAAAGTCAGCAGCAGAATTCATTGCAGCAGCTTCAGCAGTATGAGCAGCAACTGACGACTATGGAGCCACCGAGGCGCGCGCTGCTTGGGCAGCGCCTGAGCTTCAGTTGGAAGCAGGGCAGTTTGCTGCAGCAGCAGCGGCAGCAGCAGCAGCTGCTGCTGCAGAAAGAGAAGCAGCTGCAGCGTGAGAAGCCGCTGCTGCTGAGGCAGCGGGGTGCTATGCACAGCATGAGGGCATCCAGCGGCTGCAGCAGCGGCAGCTTGCATAGCAGCAGCAGCTGCTGCAGCAGCAGCGACTGCAGCTGTTGCTGCTGCCGCTTTGCACAGCTGCTGCTGCATCCGGGCGCAGGCGTCGCTCGCCTCCCGCTGCTGCAGCAACAGCAGCAGCACGTGCTGCAGAGCTCTGCAGCTTTCAGCACGCAGTCTAAGCGCACCAGCAGCAGCAGCAGCAAGGCGCGGAGAGGCAGCAGCAGCCACAGGAAGCCGCCGCGGGGCGGCAGGAGCAGCAGCAGCAGGAGAAGCAGCAGCAGCAGCAACAGGCTGCAGACGCGGAAGCACAAACATGTGACAATGGAAAGGCCCATTCGCAATCCGCTGCACCCCTCAGCAGCAACAGCAGCAATTAATGCAGCAGCAGCAGCAGGAACTGACCTGCTCAAGTCCGGGTGTATGTACACTCCAGAAACAGCTGACGCGAGGCTGCTGGCAGCAACTTCGTGTCTCTGCAGGCGCTACAAATTAGCAGCAGACCAGCAGCTAATGGAGAGGTGGGCTGCTGCTGCTGCTGCTGCTGACGCTGCTGCTGCTGCTGCTGCTGCTGCTGCTGCTGCTGCTGCTGGTTTATTCGCCTGGCGCTGTCGTGTGCTGCTGCTGCTGCAGTGAATCTGCAGGCTTGGCGCGCTGCTGCTGCTGCTGTTGCTGGAGCGGCAGGTTCTGCTGCTGTTGCTTCGAACCCACTGGCTTGCCCTGCTGTTCCTGCTGCTGCTGTCTTTGCAGGTACGCACGGCGAGCCCTGCTGCTGCTGCAGCGCAGCACGCCGAAGCAGCTCTCGCTGCTGCTGCACTCCCTGTCAGGCTCGGCGCTGCTGCAGCTGAACGACAGCAGCAGCAGCAGCAGCAGCAGCAAGGGGGCTGTGCCGTTTCTCGTGCTGCTGGCGCTGGCTTCTCGTGCTGCTGCTGCTTCTCTCAAGCTGCTGCCCCGCTGCAACCCGCAGGATTTAGCTTTGCTGCTGCATGCGCAGACCCGCATCTTTGCGGTGTACGTACGCCATGAGCAGCAGGTGCTGCTGCTGCTGCAGCAGCAGCGGAAGCGACTGCAGAAGCAGCAGCTGCTGCTGCAGCAGCAAGAGGAAAGGAGGCGACGACGCGCGGCCCTCCAAACGACGCAGCTGCAGCAGCTGACGGAGGAGGAGCAGCAGCAGCAGCAGGAGCAGCAGCTGCAGCAGCAGCGGGAAGAGAAGCGCCGCCAGGAGCAGCAGCTGCTGCAGCAAGGCCTCCACGGTTCTCCAGGAGAGCTGGACAGCGAGCTGCTTGCTGCTGCTGCTGCTTACCCTGAAGCAGTGCTGCTGCTGCTGCTGCAGCTAGCTGACGAAGTGCCCCACAAGCTGCGCTTCTTTGAGCCGCAGCAGCTCTGTGCTGCCAGCAGCAGCTACGTGCTGCTGCTGCGGTCTCTGCTGCCTGCTGCTGCAGCAGCGCCGCTCCTCTTTGCTGCGTCCGGCGCTGCAGCAGCAATCAGCAAGCCTCCTGCTGCTGCTGGTTTGCCTGCTGCTGCTTCCGTTCGCCGCTGCTGGCCGCTGCTGCTGCTGGACCTGCAGCAGCAAGCCCTAGAGCTGCTGCCCTTTGCAGATGGCCGAGCAGTGACGTCTCTTATGCAGTCCTTTGCTGCTGCTGCTACCCTCAGCAGCAGCAGCAGCAGCAAGAGGTTTCAGCGCACCATGAAGGCTTTGGCGGACCGCGCGCTACAGCTGCAGCAGCAGCACAAGCTGACGCAGCAGCAGCAGCTGCTGGTGGCGCATGCACTGGCTGTTGCAGAGGTGGAGCATCCTGAGGCGCTGCAGCTTGCTGCTGCTGCTGCTGCTGCCGCTGAAGGTAGCAGCAGCAGCAGGACTGAGGACGAGGGAGGCGCAGCAGAAGAAGAAGACTACTGGTACAGCAGCAGCAGCAGCAGCAGCAGCATTGCCCTGCGCTTGCTGCTGTCCACCTGCATCCGCAGAGGCAGGAGCTGCCCGCTATCGCTGCTGCAGCAAACGGAGCAGCGGGCGCTGCAGCTGTGGCAGCAGCAGCAGCAGCAGCAAGATGTGCTGAACAGAGACAATGTGCTGCTTGCTGCAAAGGCGCTGCAGCTTCTCTACAGGGTGCCGCACTGCAGCGACACGTTTGCTGCTGCAGCAGCAGCTGAGCTGCACAAACTGCTGCGCCACATACAGCAGCAGCATCAGCAGGCCCTCAGCAGCAGCAGCAGCAGCAGCAGCAGCAGCAGCAGCAGCAGCACTTTGGTCTACCCCAGTCCTCAATTGCTGACTGTCATTACGCGCGCAGTCTGTGTGCTGCAGAGCAGGTTCTTGCTGCCCCCAACTCAGCAACAGCAGCAGCTGCCTGCTGCTGCTGCTGCAGGAGCTGCCGCCAATGCTACAGCTGCTGCTGCTGCTAGCGACACAACGCTAACTGGCTCAGCAGCAGCAGCAGAAGAACAGCAAGCAGCAGCCGAAGAGACGCATCAACTGCCCGAGGGTGAGCCTACGTCTGCTGCTTCAGCTGCCGCACAAGCTGCTGCTGCAGCAACACCAGCAGGTGCTTCCGCAGCAACCGAGGAAGCAGGAGCAGCAGCAGCAACAGACCCAGCGGCAGCAGAAGCAGCAGCAGAAGCAGCAGCAGCAAAAGAGGAAGCTGCGCGCCATATAACTGAAATGCCTGCAGCGGTGGCGCAGCAGCTGCTGCGGTCTTTGGATGGCTTTACTAGCGAGGCTCTTGTGGCGCTGCTGCTGCCGGTACTGCGGCTGCAGCAGCAGCAGAGTGCTGCTGCTGCAGCAAACCCAGAACTGCTACAGCGAGACGGCTGGATGCACCAGGAGCAGCAGCTGCTGCTGCTCAAGCACAAAATGTTTGCCCGCGCTGCTGCAGCTGTTGGCAGCAGCCAGCCGCAGCAAGTTGCGCTGATTGGGAAGGCCATTGCTGCTGAGGCTGCGCAGCAGCAGCAGCAGCAGCAGCAGCAGCAGCAGGAAGTGAGACTCGAAAGGCAGGAGCTACTGCGGCGAGTGCTGCGGCGCATGCGTAGCACCATCAGCCAGCAGCAGCAAGCTGAGTGTCTCGCCACCAAGTCGGCGCTGCAGCAGCTTGCAGCCTGCGGCCTGCTGCTGCAGCAGCGCAGCGGCAGAAACAGCAGCAGCAGCAGCAGCAGCAGTGCCACCGCTGATGCTGCTGCTAAGCACCCAAAGGATCTGCGGGTGTACCACGCGCTGCTGCACTCAGTGAATCTGCGCCTGGGGGAGCTGGCTGCGCAGCAGCAGCAGCAGCAACAGCAGCAGCAGCAGCAGGAAGAGGAAGAAGAAGAACCAGTTATCTTACCAACTCTTCCGGGAGAATCAGCTCTTTCCCCGTCCTTTATTGTGCGGAAGATGCGGCAGCAAAAGCTGCTGCCAGTAGCAGGTGAAGAAGAGGAGCAGCAGCAGCAGCAGCAGCAGCACAGCAACCAGTTTAAGGATTCTCTCGAGGATTTAGCGGAGCGAACGGACATACGGCTGCGGCAGCTGCAAGAGCAGCACAAGCTTCTGGCTGCAGAAGCCCTACAAAGCAGCAGCAGCAGCAGCAGCAGCAGGAGCAGCAAAAGCAGCAGCAGCGCTGCTGCTTCTGTTGCAGAGCTGCTCGCTGAAGACAGCCAAGCGCTGCAGCAGCTAGAACGAGAGCAGCCACACATTTTGGATCAATGGCAGCAGCAAACGCAAGAGGCAGCCACTGCTGCTGCTGCTGCAGCTGCTGCTGCAGCAAAAGCTCCTATAGGCCGTCAGGCACGAGGGAGACGAGCCCGATTGGCTTCTGCTGCAGCGCTGCAGCAGCAGGAGCTTTCAGACGATTACTTTCCGCCGGCAGCAGAAGCAGCAGCAGATGCAGTAGCAGCAGCAGAAGCAGCAGCAGAAGCAGCAGCAAATGATTTGATAGAAGACAAGAGACTGGTGGTGCGCAGCAAGCTGCTGCATGCAAAACTGCAGCAAAGTGGAGAAGAGCTTTCGGCTTTGCCTTTCCTGGACGTTGACGAGCCCCTGCCCAAGCGCCGCTAGCAGCAGCAGCAGCAGCAGCAGCAACAGCAGCAACAGCAACAGTCGCAGCAGCTAGCTACGCGCCTAGGCGTGTAGGCAGCCGCCTGGCCAGCTAGCTAGCAGAGGCTCGTGACTTTGCTGCAGCGGCTTGCTGCTGCGTCTTCCGGCTTTTGCTGCAGCCAGAACCTAGCTGCTGCAGCGATAAGCTAGCTGCTGCAGCTAGCAGCAGCAGCTAGTTGCTAACCGCTGCTTTTTGCTTAGATCAATGCCCTGTTTACTTACTAAAGGGTTTTATGCACTTGCTGCTGCTCCGCATGCAGTTTTTCGTCTTAATGCTGCTGCTGCTGATGCTGCTGCTCTTGGCGGTGGCAGCTCCCTGCAGCAGCAAAGCAGCAGCAAAGCAGCAGCAGCAACGCTGCACCAGCCTGGAGCCTTTTCACAGACCCTTAGAGAGTGTAGCAAGAAAAGCTGCGTAGGCAGCAGTGTAGCAGCAGCACGTGTAGCAGCAGCAGCACGCGCAGCGGCAGCAGCGACTGCAGCGGCAGCAGGTGCAGCAGCAGCAGGCGTGGCAGCTACGGCAAGCGCAGCCACAGGCACAGCAGCAGCAGGTACAGGGGGAGCAGCTGCAGGCTCAGCAGGTGTAGCATCAGCAGGCCTAGCAGCAGCAGGTGCAGCAGTAGCCGGTGTAGCAGCAGCAGGTGTAGCAGCGGCAGGTGTAGCAGCAGCAGCACGAGCTTGGCGTAGCAGCAGCAGCACGAGCTTCGCTGCGTAATTTTTTAATGCTGCAAAATGTCTTGGCACGTCTAAGGTGGCATCTACGGAGCGCAACTTGGCGACTCCTTGCTGCAGCAGCTGCTGCCGCTGCAGCAGCAGCTGTTGGTGCTGCCGCAGCAGCTGCAGGCGCTGCAGCAGCTGCTGGTGTGGCTGCAGCAGCAGCAGCACTAAAGAGGCGGCGTTAGCCACTGGAAGCTCACTAGCAGCTGCTGGAACAGCAGCAGCGGCCCCTGGAGCTGCAACAGCTGCTGCTAAAGCAGCAGCAGCAGCAGCAGCTCCTGCTGCTGCTGCTGCTGCAGCTGCTGCTGCTGTGCTTTAGGAAGCAAGGAAGCAGCGGCACCTGTAAATGGCTAAGTGGGTGAGGGGCCAGCAGGCCATGGGGAAGAAATCAAACAGCAGCAGCGCAGCAGCAAGCAGCCGCAGCGGGGAAGCAAAAGGTGCAACAAATCCCAGCTGCTTCTGCATCCTGCAGCAAAGCTGCCGGTAGGCCTGCAGCCGCTGCAGCAGCTGCGGCTCCAGCAGCAGCAGCAGCAGCACGCGAGCAGCAGCAACTCCAAACACGGGCCCGCATTCGGGTCCGGAGTAGTAAGACCAAATGCTGCTGCCCGGCATCGGCGGCTTTTGCTGCAGCAGCAGCAGCACGCAGCCACACACACACAAGTTGTTGCTGCTGCTGTGACTGCTGCTGCTGCTAAGCACTGCAGCAAGCTGCTGCTGCAGGAATCCCTGTAATAATAGCAAGTGCAGCTCCTGCAGCAAAAAGCGTCGAATGAGCGTCAGCTAAAAGCCACAAGTACTGCAGCAAGCGCAGAGCGCTGCTGCTGCTGCTGCTTTTGTTGCTTCTGCTGCTGTGCTGCTGCAGCAGCGAGCGTGGGAGCAGGCCTGAGGTGTCAAACTGCTGTTAGTGCTCCAGCAGCAGATGCAGCTGCAGTTCATTCGTGCAGTCAGAAAATACTGCAGCAAGCAAAAGCAGCAGCAGCAGCAGCAGCAACAGCAGCAGCAGCAGCAGCACGGTCACCTGTAGGTACAGCTGAAGCCGCCAGTGCATCATCAGCCCCGTCAGCCGCTTCATATCCCGCACAGTTTGCAGCCTGCAGCAAAACCAGAAAGACACACCTGCTGCTGCTGCTGCCGCTGCTGCAGCAGAAGCTGCTGCTGCTGCTATTGCTGTTGCTGCCGCAGCACCTGTCGCTGCTAATAAGGATGGTCTTGCAGCAGCTGCTGGTTGTAACTATGCAGCTGCATGTTCTCAACCTATTCACAATGCTGCTGGTGTTTGCGTCTGCCGCTGCTGCTGCTGTTGCTGCTGCTGTTGCTGTTGCTGCTGCTGCTGCTACTGCATACCAGGCATAACCTGTGGGGTGCCCGAACTTAAGGGCTCCTTCAGCTGCCTTTACAGCTGCTGCAAGAATACCATCCATCTTCAGTCTGCTGCTGCTGCTGCTGCTGCCTTTGCTGCTGCTGCTTGTGCCGGTTAGCGTCCCTGCTGCTGCTGCTGCTGCTGCAGCTGCTGCTTGTTCCTGCTGCTGCCTTGAGCGGATGCTTACTTCCCCTTCTTTTGTGTTTCTCCCTCGTTTGCTGCTGTTTAAAAATTTGCTTTTTATCTTTTGTTTTATTATTTTTATTTATTTATTTATTTATTTATTTATTTGCTTGCGGCTCTCATTACAGCAGCTGTTTTGCTGCTTCCTTTTTATCTCCCCGCTGCTGCTGTCCCGTCTCTTTATCTGCTGCTGCTTCCTCTTCATGCTCTTTTCTGCTGCTGCTGCTGCTGCTGCTTCTGCCATCTGCTGCTGCTGCAGCTGCTCACTGCCGTCGGCTGCCGTTGTTGCAGCTCTCTGCCATTTGCTGCTTTTGCTGCCCTTGCTGCCTGCTGCTGCTGCTGCTTCTGCTGCAGCTTTCTGCCGTTTGCTGCTGCAGTTGCTGCTGCTGCTGCTGTCACTATCTTCTGCTATCTGCTGCTTGCTGCTGCTACTCTTGATGACTTCCTGCTGCTGCTGCTTCAGGGCCAACCCGAACTTGTTCTTTTGCTTCTGAATCACAAACAGATAATATTTTAGAATTTGAATTTCAGCTTATAAATTCAATTTCAATTTATTAATTTTAAAGTTTAACCTCTTCACTTGAATGCTAATTATAATTCTTCTTGTGTACAAACAGCCCCCTCCAGCTGCCTCCCCATTGCTGCAGCAGCAGCAGCAGCAAACAAAAAGCAGCAGCAGCAGCACAAGCAAAGAAAAAGCAGCAGCAGCAGTTCCTTTCTGAGGCATATCTGGGGCCTCCGCATTTTATTTATTTATTTTTATTTTTAATTAAATTTATTTTAATAAAATTAAATGAAAAATAAATGAATAAAAGATCTATAATTTACCCACTTTTATTTCTTTCAAAGACAAGTTCTACAAATAAGATAATTTAAAACATTTTTTAAAATTAAAAAGGATTCTTTTAAAAGACTTTTTATAATTCAAAAAGATAATTTTTAAAATTCATTTTTATAATTAGAAAAAGATATTCTTTTTAATCACTTTTTATAATTTAAATTTTAATTTTAAATTCACTTTTATAATTTGAAAATATATTTTAAATTCATTTTTATATTTTTAATTTTTTTCCTTTGAAGACAAAGTTGGAAAAGATCTTTGTGCTGTCTTTGACCGAATAAATAAAGTAAAATGATTAAATTAATTGAGCTAATTTAATTATCTAAATTAAATTAAATTAATTAAATTAAACTAAACTAGTTAAATTAGATTAAATTAAATTAAATGTCATAAATGGAGAATAAAATGGTGTTTGGAAAGTGCAGGCACTTTCAGGTGTACATACACCGCAGCGCGCAGCGCGCACTGCAGCAGGAAGGCAGCAGCAGCAGAACTACTTAAGTTTAATTCTGCAGCAGCAGCAGCAGCGGCTTGCTGCTGCTGCTGCAGCAGCAGCAGCAGCACCTGCTGCCTGGCGCTTCTCTCTGTCTTTGCTGCTCTCTGGGACCCCGACAGGACGGCAGCAGCAAAATGCTGCTGCTGCTGCTGCTGCTTCTGTGTGCGTGACCGCTCGGTGCACTGCTGTTGCTGTCTCCGTGCTGCTGGGGGTGAGACACGGCTGCTGCTGGTGCTGCTGGTGCTGCTGTAGCTGCTGCTGCAGAAGCCAGCAGCAAAATGTCGCGTTGCTGCTGCTTCTTCTTTTGGTTTTTCAATGATTTAAACAAAAGGGTGTTTGGGGCTGGTTGCCCAATGGGCATGCAGCCGTGGCGGCAGCGGCTGCTGCTGCTGCTGCTGCTGCTGCTGCAGTGGGGGCCCCCCCTCAGAGCAGCAGCAGCAGCAGCACAAGCTTTTGTTGCTTTTTTAAACAAAAATTAATATCAATGAAGGCCCAAAAGCTTCTGCTTCTGTGGCTAGGCCCTGCAGCAGCAGCTCATTGGCGCCTTACAGTGGGGGGCCCCCGGGGACGAGGGTTTAGGGTTTAGGGTTTAGGGTTTAGGCTTTTAGGGTTTGCTGCTGCGACCCTCGGCTATGGGCGCCTTCCTCCAGGGCAAAAAATGGTAGCTGCTTAGTGATTAGTTTGCTGCGGCAGCTCCAGCTCCAGCAGCAGCAGCAGCAAGCGCCAGCAGCAGCAGCACGCGCAACAGCAGCAGTCGGCTATGCTGCTGCTGCTGCTGCTGCTGCTGCCCTCCTAATGAGCTCCCCTTGCCCCTTACTAGGGGCAGAGACCCCCTTGGGGGTTGACCTTCCCAGCATAAGTTGCTGCTGCTGCTGCAGCAATGCTGGCTGCAGCAGCAGCCGTTGCTGCGTCCCCCAGTACGAAGAGCAGCAGCAGCAGCAGCGACGCCGTTTTATCGGTCTTGATGTGCCCCCCTCACACCACATCTCTCTGTGAGTGACTTTTGTTGCTGCTGCTGCTGCTACTCTGGTGCTGCTGCTGTCCTACTGTTGCTGCTACCGCGCTGCTCCTGCTGCTCTGCTGCTGTTGCAGTGGCCTTTGTTGCAGTCCCCTGTCTGTTGCTGTTGCTGCATCCCTTGCTGCTGACGTTTGCATCTTTTTTCTGCTGCTGCGAACATTTGCTGCCGCTGCTGCTGCTGCTGTTGCTGCAGCGAGCTGAGGCCACAGGAGCTGCTGCTGTGGCTGACGTCCCCTCCGGCGCCGCAGCTTCCTGCGGAGGATGCAGCAGCTGCATCAATTACAGCAGCAGCAGCAGCAGATACAGCAGCAGCAGCAGCAACGGCAGATGCAGCAGCAGCAGCAGATGCAACGGCGGCAGATGCAGCAGCAGCGGGTGCAGCAGCAGCTGCTGCACGAGGCCGGCTCATGGGCAGGATCCAGCTGCCGCTGCAGCTCAATGTTTCAAGTGCTGCTGCTTCCGTTGTTGCTGCTGAAAGCAGCAGCAAGACAGCTGCAGCAGCCAGCAGTAGCTGCTGCAGCAGCAGCTCCTATAGCTGCAGCAGCAGTACAGTAATTGCTGTGGCAGCATTTCTGGAGGGGAAGCAGCAGCTTATTCGGCTGCTACTGGCTCTGGGGTGCTGCTGCAGCTGTTCGACAGCAGCAGCAGCAACAATAACAGCAGCAACAGCTGCTGCTGCTGCTGCACAGCCACAACCCCAAGGCCCGCAGCAGCTGCCTAGTGTATCCCTTTCAAGTGTATATACAGCGTGCCTCTGTTGGTGCTTATCACCAGCAGCAGCAAAAGCAGAAGCAGCAGCAGCAGCAGCAGCAGCAAACGAACTAGATTATGGTAGTCCTCCTCCCCTTAAGAAAAGGCGGTCTGCTGCTGGAGCAGCAGCAGCGCCTGGAGGAACAGCAGCTGCTGCAGCAGCAGATGCTGCTGCTGCTGAGAGGCAGCAGCAGCTTTTCGTCATTGGAGCAGATCGGCTGCTGCTGCAGCGTGCTGCAGGAGCGCCGCTGCTGCTGTCGCTGCCGCCCACTCCGCGTGGTGCTGCTGCTGTTTTTGCAGCTTGCTGCTGCAGCAGCAGCAGCAGCAGCGGCGACGATAGCTGCTGCCTCCTTCACAGCGCCTGGAGGGAGCAGCAGCAGGAGGAAGAAGCAGCAGCAGATGCAGCGAAGCGCTTCGCGTACTGCAGCAGCAACGGCAGCAGTTGCTGCTGCAGCTGCTGCTGCAGTGCTGCTGCTGCAAAGGCCCCAGTGCTGCGCCCCGCAGGGGCCCCACTTAAGGGTGCAGGGCCTCCAAAGGCGGAGGCGCTGCTGCTATGCCTACAGCAGCAGCAGCAGCAGCAGCAGCAGGAAGATGAGGTGTTCAGCAGCAACGCTGCAGTTTCCTCTGAGCTGCGGTGTCTGTACAGCAGCAGAGGCTGCTGCTTCTCCTTGGGGAGGCTGAGGGCTGCTGCAGCTCTGCTGCCGCGTGCTGCTACTGCTGCTGCTGCTGCTGCTGCTCGCTTCCCACTCCGACTGCTGTGGGGACAGCAGCAGCAGCAGCAGCAGCAGCAGCAGCTGACGGTGCTCTGCATAACAGCAGTTCCAACTGCAGCAGCAGCAGCCACGGCATCAAGGTATTTCTGCATGTTCTGCGTAGCGCCACGACCTGCTGCTGCTGCTGCTGCTGCTCCAGAGAAGACAGGGGAAGGTGCAGCGTGGCTGCTGCTGCTGTGCATCTCCCCACGCTCTGCAGCAGTTGTAGCTGCTGTGTCAGTGCAGCTGCAGCAGCAGCAGATGCAGCTCTCCGCTACCCCATGTCTCTTGCTGCTGAGCTCAAGCGGCAGCAGCAGCAGCAGCAGCAGCAGCAGTGGCTGCTTGCTGCTGGGGCTGCAGAGCTTCTTGTTGCTATCTTTTTGCTGCAGCCCCCAAGCGCATATCTCTGTTTCGCGCCGCGGCACTCTTCCTGTTGCTGCTGCTGCTGCTGCTGCTGCTGCCTGCAGCGGCAACAGCGGCACTGCGCTGCTGGTGGGAGACACGCTGTGGCTGTGTCAGCCTCAGCAGCAGCAGCAACAGGAGCAGCAGCAGCGGCAGCAGGCTCTACTGGCTGTGAACCTTGCAGCAGAGCCTCCGGTGCTGCTGCCGGTTCTTAGCATGCCGCAGCAGCAGCAGCAGCAGTGGCGCTTGGCGCTTTGCTGCAGCCTTCTCTGGCGGCTCCGGGGGCAGCTGTCCGACAGCAGCAGCAGCAGCAACAGCAGCAGTTTGCCGCAGCAAGCCGAGGAAGAGGAAGCAGTGGAGCTGCTGCTGCTGCAGGTGGCGAGACACTGCGTGAAAATCCTGGGAAGAGGCAGAGTTTGCTGCTGCTTGCTGCATGCGCTGCAGCCGTGTGGCAGCAGCTTAGATGCTGCAGCTGCTGAGAGCCTGTCGGCGAGCAGCAGCAGCAGCTGCAGCAGCAGCAGCAGCAGCAGACGCAGCAGCAGCAGCGGACGCAGCGTCAGCGAGAGCAGCAGCTACTACACCGTTCAAAGCTCTGCAGAAGATGATCTCCTGAGAAACGGCAGCAGCAGCAGCAGCAGCAGCAGCGACTCCCGCAGCGCCTGCTGCTTCCCAGGGCCGTCCGCCCTTTCTTTAGGGGCTCTTAGGGCCCTCCGCAGCAGCAGCAGAAGCTGCTGCTTCAGGGATCGCCTGCTGCTGCAGCAAGCAGCAGCCACTGCTCGGCGAATTGCAGCAGCAGGAACGGCAGCAGCAGCAGCAGGAACAGCAGCAGCGGGAACAGCCGCAGGAACAGCAACAGGAACAGCAGCAGAGGACTGGGAAGTGACGCTACTGCAGCGGGTTCTGTGGGGCCTCACTAAGCAGGCAGCAGCAGCAGCAGCAGAAACAGCAGCGGCAGCAACAACAACAGCAGAGAGGCTGTTCTTAGGAGATGCTGCAGGAGCCGCAACGGCAAGCGCTGCAGCAGCAACTACAGCAGCAGGGCCGCTGCTGCAACGTGCTGCTGTAAGTGCCTGTGTTTCCCTGCTGCTGTGGCTGGCTCATCAGCAGGAGGAGCAGCAGCAGCAGCAGCTGCTGCTGCTGCCGCTGCAGCTGGGAGCCTCTGAGGTGTGGGGCCGGTTCTTACAGCAACAACGGCAAGCCCTCATGCCGAAAGCAGTAGCAGCAGCAGCGGGAGGTGCCACTGCTGCTGCTGCTACTGCCTTTTCCTCTGCTGCAGAGACTTGGCCGCTCGCTGCTATTTTCCCTCCCACGGCGCAGCAGCAAGCGTTGGAACAGCAGCAGCAGCAGCAGCAGCAGCCCCAGATACAGCAGCAGCAGCAGCAAAGCAACCAAACAAGTCCTGCTGTCCCGCTGTTGCTGCGTGACTCGGGTGTATGCACTGTGCATGCGCAGCTGCAGCACGGGGAGCTGCTGCTGCTGCAGCAGCAACCGCTCGTCGCAGCTCTGCAGGATTACTTGCTGCTGCTGCTGCTGCCGCAGCAGCAGCAGTGTGTAGATTTGATGTTGGCAGCAAGCGAGGAGAAGCGGCAGCAGAGGCTGCAGAGGCTGCTGCTGCTGGACCAGCTGCAGCAGGTGCAGCAGCGGCAGCAGCGGCAGCAGCAGCAGCAGCAGCAGCAAACTGAACTCTCTTCAGATGGACCTATGAGCATTCTTGCTGCCAGAATGCTGCAGCGGGGCAGCGCCTTGTGTCTTCTTCTCTCTGGCTGCAGCAGCAACTTGAACTCAGCGCAGGCTCGCCCGCAGCTGCAGCAGCAGCTGCAGCAGCAGCAGCAGGAACATCAGGTGGCCGCCGTGCTGCAGCAGCACCTGCTGCTGTCCTCTTCACCAATGTGGCGGCTGCTGCTTCTCGGTTTGGTGCAGCAGCAGCTCCAGATGCGCGAAGGCACTAGTGTGGCAGCCACTTCTACCGCAGCAGCAGCAGCAACAGCAGCAGCAGCAGCAGCAGCAGAACAGCCTCTTGTCCCCTCGGCTGCTGCTGCATGCGCGTCCCTCTCAGCCCGACTTTGCCGGCAGATTTCTAGCGCAAAGAGCGAGGGCAGCAAAAGCGGCAGCAGCAGCAAGGGCTCGAACGCTCAGCAGCAGCAGCAGCAGCAACAGCAGCAGCAACAGCAGCATAAGGGCGACGCAGCAGATGCTGCTGTGGCTCGCTGCTTTTTGCCCTTTTGGCTGCCTGCATACAGTTCAAGCTGGCAAGAGTGCCTTGACAGGGACTATGCACAGCAGCAGCAGCAGCAGCAACAGCAAAAGTTGCAGCAGCAGCAGCAGCAACGCCTTCGACAAAGACAGCTGGCACAACTTGTTCGTTTTGCTGCTGCTGCAGCCAGCGCCACTCATGCCGACAGAATAGTGGGGGAGCAGCTGCTGCTCGCGGCTTCTTGGCAGCTGAAGCAGCAAACGCAGCAGCAACAACAGCAGCAGCAGCAACAGCAACAGCAGCAATCCCGTGAGTGCCTCGAGACGCAGCTGGAGCGGATAAGAGAAACTGTACGTACTTCTGGCAAAAAATTTTGCTTCTGCTGTTGCTGCTGCATCGATTATCGTTCTGCCGCTGCTGCTGCTGCTCTTACGAGTGTTTAGCGCATGTTTTTTTTGCTGCTCAGGCGGAATGGTTTAAAGGCCTTTGTGGGGCTTTTGGTGGTCCATCTGCTGCTGCTGCTGCTGCTGCTGCTCCTTTTTACTCCACAGCAGCAGAAGGTCCTATACACAGCAGCAAGTCCCCAAAGGCAGCGCTGCTGCTGTTGCTGCAGCAGCAGCAGCAGCAAGTGATGCTGCACAAGGGCGCATGCGGCGCAGGTGCTGCTGTACTTAATGCACTCAGTGCCTCTTGTGCTGCTGCTGCTGAGAGGAGCGAAGTGAGCTCCTGCTGCTGCTGCTGCTCCTGCTTGCTGCTGTTGCTGCTGCTTCAAACGCCAGATGCAGCAGCAGCAGCTGGTGCTGCTGCTCCTGCGGCTGCCCTTGCTGCTGCTGCTGCCGCTCCTGCTGCCGCTGCTGCTGCTGCTGCCTCTGCTGCTGCTGTCGCTGCTGCTGCTGAATGCGCTGTGCAGCCTACTTTGCGCTGCTGCTTGCAGGCTGCTGAGGCGTTTCTGCTGCTGTTCCAGCAGCCTGTGTCTAAGGAGCTTCAAATGCTGCGTCTGTCGCTGCAGCTGCTGCTGCTGCAGTCGCTGCAGCGCAGCAGCTCCAGCAGCAGCACTGGCAGCAGCAGCGTATGCCTGAATTTGCCTGCTGCAGCAGCTGCTGCTGCAGCAAGGGTCTCGGGCGCCATGGCCGTACTGAAGCAAGCAGTGGACATGTACCTGCAGCACGCAGAGCCAGCAACAGCAGCAGCAGCAGCAGCAACAGCAGCGGGAGCAGCAGTAGCAGGGTCTGGTGCTGCAGCAGCATCTGGATACACCTACCGAGCTCGGCTGCT